CTGAAGCACAGAATAATGAAAGCAGCTGCGGTAAACTTTAACATAGCAGTGGAAGTTCTCAGAGACGCACAAGAGCACTACTTGGAAACAGTTCACACAGTAGGCGCTGCCAGTTGGGTGGGTGCAGTACACATTTGTTTACAAAGCATTTGAGTTGTATCCAAGGGACGCTGGACCCGATTTCCAGCAGGTGTTGGTGTTGCTCCCCACCAATAGATGGAGCCTTCAATGCTCTTGATATCATCACCTCGTTAAGCAGGACTCGGAATGCATGAAGTTCTCAAAAAAAAAAAAAAAAAAAAAAAGAGAGAGGGAGAGAGAACTCAGAGAAAGGAGAAAAAGAAGTTGCGTTAGCCGGACCTGCACCGCCGGGCCCACCCCATCCTTGACCACCATGGTTGGGGCGGTGGGCAACATGCATCCCCTCTGATGGCTGGAGGGAGACAACAAAGCTATGTTTGCAGGGGTCCCCTGTATAAGCCTTAGGAGTGGTGGTAGGTAGGTAGTGAAGGTGAATTGAAAGAATTTGAAAGATGGATGAAAGATTCGAGAGAAGAATGTTGCATAGTTAAAAGAAAAAAAAGAAAAAAAAAGGGAAAGAAAAAGAAAAAGAAAAAGAAAAAGAAGTTGCGGCTAGCTCAGTTGGTTTGGCACGGACGTGGCATTCAGGAGGTTGTGGGTTCAAGCCCCATAACTGCCCGCGGCGCACTTAGTGGCAACAGCTGTGATAGTCCATTGGGTACCTCTTATCGGTATCAGTAGGGTCTATACGTAGTAGAGTCTATACGTAAATTCCTCTTTTTTTTTTAACTACCGTAGTCTGTATAGTCTGTAGACTCTATACATTAATTCCTCTTTAACTGCAGGGCATGCTGCTGTCACAGTTTTGCTGAGCAAAACTTGACACTAGCGTAGTAAACTAGTGTACCCCTGTGGGCAATACTTCCTTGGTTGAGCTGTTGATGAAGCATCGCATTGCCTTCTGCATTTGATGTGTAAGTTAATTGGTTGTGGTGCAGGAGATGCAGACTATTGCACAACAGCTGTTCGTGAACGTCTTCCTTGCTTATTTTCACTATTTCACCACTTCCCCCCCCATCTCTTCATTCTCTTTCCCACTCTCTATCCCTATCCTGCACGTCCGGGTCTCCTCTTTCCCGTGACCTGCAACACCACCCATCCCCCGAATTTTACAGACACGTCAGAAGGAGAAAATTATATTATCTTCCAGTTGTCTGCTTGGTCAACTTCCTTCCCTCCCTCCCTCCATCCATCCCTCTCCCTCCCTCCCTCCCTCCCTCCCTCCCTCCCTCCCTCCCTGCATAGTGTGAAATGCCCCACAGATTGTGAATTACTCTCCTTGTTTGTGAATCCTGTGGCTTCTTTCCCTCTCTTCTGTATGGCTTTGCCGGATTTCTTCTGTTTGTGGGTTCCTGTGGCATGTGGTCTCTTCTCCCGAGCAGGTGACAAACCACCTGGTGACCAATCCAATTCTGAAGTATGACCTTGAGCTCAGCAAAGAGAAGCTGGAGATGACAAAGGACAAAATTGATGTTCTCAAGTCAAACTTCACCAAGATTGCGAGCCCTCTGGAGAAGGCCCAAGTTAGCCCAATGATTAGCAAGAGAGGGAGCACTGTCAGCTCGATGGCGTAACCATTACCACCACAAACCTTTTTTTTTTTTTTTTTTTTTTTTTTTTTTTACCACCACAAACCCTCATTCAGCTGAGTTTCTGTTTTGGCTTCAGGATTATTTATGGACATCTTCTGGCATACTCCCAAACAAGGACTTTTTCTTCGACGTATCTGACCGTGAAAGTGACCCGATTTGGTCAATGAAGTGCGAGCATTAGTACACCCTGACTGTACTCATGCTAGGACTTTTCTTGATGTATCAGACTGCCATTACGGCCGCCCCATGTGTGTATCTGACCGCAATTAGGTTTAGACCTGGGCCAAAAAGGTCCTTGTGGGAGTATGCCCTCACCTATGCCATGTTGGTGGAATCACTTGAGAGGCGATCTTCTTCATCGATCTTCTTCATCAGCAGGCGCTGAATGTTGGGCATTTTTCTTGATTCTGGACTCATTAGACCACCAGTACCTTTCTCAGCCAACACTGTGGTACCTTGGGGTGGGGTCACACTTGCTCTGATTAAGAGATTCTGGTCATCGATCTCCGTTATCTACGGCTGCTATTTTTCCTAATCCGCACAAGTGGGACCGAAATACAGGACGGTTCATCAGACGAATCAATTTAACCTGCCAAAGGCAGGCCCATGATACATCCAGCCCGTTGTCGGGCGGCAGCCTACCAGCCGGATACTCCTCTTTTTTGCCAAACTAGAAAGAAATTTGGATGTGTTTTTTTTTTTGTTTTTGCATGTTTTGGTGTATGAATGTGTTTGACTGAGGGGTTTGAAGGAAATTTTGCACCGTGTTCATTTTTGGTATATCACGACAACTTCCGGAGGTAAACTGCATTCAAATTCTTGGAAGATATTTACCTGGATTAATTAAATTGAATTGTTTTTGAAAGATCAGGATCTGTAATACTCGGTAATATTTTAATATATTTAGTGTTTACCAAGTTACCATATAATAGCGT